TACTATTGACACATTTATTGTTGTCCTAAAGTAACATCGTTTACACAGAGCACAGAACTTGTAGCCGGTTCAGAAAAGTGTCACGCTAACGGCTGCTTTGTGGCATTATTATTTGCAGGCATCATGCTCGCAATTTTACCAGCTAGATCATTACTGTGGAGCTTTGAGGACATCTGACATTTTCCACTGATGACAGTTTGTGGCTACTGTAGCTTGTGATTTGTCTACGTTGGCAAGCGAGTTAACTCTTGCTAAAAAAAAACAAAAAAAACAAAGCAAATTTCCCTCTTAGAATTAGATGTTGATTCCAGTTCAGTGCTTTTTGTTGAACTCTGTGTTGTGGTTCGTTGATTTACTTAGTACCTTTAATAAGTGGCTCAGATTTCATCATCATTACCTGCATGTTTGAGGGAGGACCAGTACTGCCTGTGAGCTGATCGGACACAGTGAAGGGACTCGAGCGCACTGAGGAGAGAACAATGAAGTACAGTTATCAACACATGCACATGTACTGGATAACGTCAGATACAAGTCAGGACATTTGACTGATGGGAGGACACACCTTTCACAGGGACCGTCGAGATTTGCAGGTCGAGGCGCAGGATCTCCAAGCAAAGTCTGAACTGTCTGACACACAGACTGAGGGAGGGACGTCAAGTTGTATCCTCCCTGGAACACATTCACACAATAAAACCTTGATAAACACATGATTGTTTCCTCCTGTTGAAATTCAAAGAAGAGTGGATGAGGTGGTGTCATATGTTTGTGCTGATGATGTAGTACATTACGTATTGCGTCGCTTTACCTCCAGAACAGCGCACAGTTTCCCTCCTGCCAGGTTCATCAGCAGGTGAGTGAGGTGGGCAAAGACGTCTGGGGTAGCACACATTTTACCCTGGAAATAAAAATGTCAATTTGATCCACCAATAAAGCCAGTTTGTCTCATAATATCCCAATAATGGCAAAAATACTATGTGCACATGCATATGTTGCTACATACACTCGGTATCCACTACACGGTATGTAAAAAACCCTGCATACATTATTCCAATCATATAAACTGCTCTGACATAAAGTCAACTTTTGATTCCACTGTTTATTAAAGCTTATGTTTTAGTGTTGATGTTGTGCTAAACTGTATTGCACTGGAGGGTGTTGCCTCCCTGATATACGTAATGAATAGACAATGTTAGACAATAACAGAGACAAACAGAGCTGCTAAATATACAGACGTCACAATGCAAGTAATACTTGTATGGATCCCTAAAAGACTTGGTAAGAGTTCAGAATTATGGCAGAGCTGTTGGGTTTAATTGTTACTGATTCTAGAGATGTACCTGTTCAAGCAGCCACTGAGCGTTAAGATGAAAATAAAGACTGAAAACATGGTTATTTATGTTTCATACCTCTGGGTCACCAATGGCTGAGTCAAAGCCTGCACACACCAGGACCAGGTCTGGGCAAAACTGTGACAAAGAAATACTCACAATAAATGATCTCCTGCACATCCTCATCTGTTTAGCGAAATGTGAGGTTTTCCAAACGGCTCACCTCGTACGCGACCGGCAGAAGAACGTGACAGAAGAGAGAAAGATAGTCGCTGTTTTTCATTCCCACCTGAAATATGACAATGAGTTCTTATCATTAAGAAACTTCAACGAAAACAAAAACTCACAAGTTAAATGTGAGATCAGTGCTGGAAAGATAAGTTGATCGACGCTGACTCAGCCCCAAAAATGATAATTGATTATATCGTTTAACATCACAGACGTGAAGCATAAGGATGCTATCTGGTTTGTCCCATTGCAACCAGGAGAAGTTGCTTTTTACCAGTGGATGTGACTTTAAAATCTCTTTAAAAAGATCTTAAGGGGGGTCTTTGTTGGGACTAGCAGAGCCCTTCGAAACGGGCATCCCCGGTTCGACTGAGACCCCTCGGCTCCTCTCCTGCTCTCAATGCACTTTTCGCTCTCCCTTGTATCCTATGATGTCTTCTGTCCTATCTAAAATGAAGGCATGAAAGCCAAAGAGTAAAAGATCTTTCTGTTAAATCATGAAAATAATAATTTAATAATAATATTCATAACGTTCTTTAATAAGTAGATTAAATAGATAATTTGACTATTTCAAATACAGTGTAGTCATTTTAATGTAATAACAATTATATTAAAGCCATTTATTTCCCCCTTATTTTCATTTTTTTCTCATAGTCAGCCTAGCAAATTAAAAAAAAAAAAAAAGCGATCCTCAATCATTTCAAGTTTTGTCTGTGGACACGTACCTGATTCCAGGGCACATTGATATTGAATCCAGCCCCTTTGTCTTTCCCAACACTGTCGTAGTCCGATTCTCTCAGCTGAGGCCAGAATTTCTGATGCTCATAGCGGTGCCAGGAGAAGTAGAGCACACTGACGAGGATACACGGACATAGTCTTCAGATTTCAGGCGGCTGAAGAAAAGCCCACATGTCACACTCAAGATGCTTCCATTTGGACTCACCTGGGATCGTCTTCAAAACAGTACTGCACCCCCTTGACCATGATGTACATCCCAGTCAACTATTAAAACCCTGGAATATATAAACACATCAATAGAAGCACGTTTTGTGCTAGAACCAATACAGTGAGTTCTGAAAACAAACAAACAAATACAATATATGTCATGTTACCTTTTCAACCCATATTTTTGCTTGGCATATCGAGCTGCTATGGCCACATTATTGAACACACAGAATCCGTTGGCAGCGCTTCGCATACTGTGATGTCCCGGTGGTCTGTTAACAACAATACAGCGTTAGACCGATCCATTAATCATGTCGTCTTGACACTTGACACAAACCAGAACGTCAGCAATATGATCAAATTAGAAACCAATTCATGGACGTCCAGAACTGGAATTTAACAATATGATCAAATGAATCTTCTTCACAACAAAGAGAGACTCGTGCACACTCATTGTAGGATCGGAGAAAGGTATGAGGAGAGCTGTGTCTCACTGGTGAACCTCACCTGACCAGAGCCATGCCATTCCTCACCTTTCCTGTCATTACACTGTCCACAAGCTGCAGTGCAGCCCCTGCAGCCAGCTTGGCACAGTGATAGATGTTCTAGGACAAGACACGAGACAGAGAAATGGTTAGCCACAAGCAGAGTACTCTTACCACCTCTGAAAGAACAAATACAAGATAATAATAACAGCTGACAATCTAGCCAGTACTTATTTTATATGTTGGACTAACTGGGTGGAAGTAGACGTCACCATACTGCAGGGTGAACTCTTTCAGATCCTCCAAGGTCATGTAGGGGGTCTTCTTCACTGCCTCTAAGTACTCCTCGCTGTTGGGCGCAGCAAAATACACGTAGCTGAGTGGCTTTATCTCTATCAGGCTAATCTAGAGGTAGAAAGTGAGTAAACCAGACGAGGGCCCTTTGTTGGCGTCATGCCTGACCTGTGAACCAGCAGGATGTCTGCATCAGTCGCCTCTCGGACGGGTACAGAGACGCAGCGATCAGTCAGACCGTTCTGGATCAAAGCTTCATAAGTCACTGTCAGACGCTCAGGCACTTCAATCTTACAAGCCGGGCTGAGGATTAAAAATAAAAGAAAACGTTAAAAATGATGATTTGTTCAGGAGGATGGCACGGGTGTGTTTGGTTTAAATTTCAAAAATGTGTGTCAAATGATTTGAGCAGTGCTCCAAATCTGTATCTTAATGAATGAAAACTGATATTGTTCTGATCTTTATGCACAGTAGATGTATTAGAAGCCATTCAGCAAACAACAAACTTTAAATGGAGAATAAATGAAACTAAAATTGACTGTGACAAGTGCGTTTTCACAATAAAAAGGAAACAAATTAAGCTGTGAGAGAATGGGGGTACACAGCTTTTCCATGTAAATATTAGGCCAACACTGTTAGTGCTCCCAGCTCACTGTCCCGACTAGCTACACGAGACAGTAACTTCAGTTCCTACCACAGACTGTAAATATATTACTGAACCGTGTTAACTTCCAGACAGCTCGGTGAATACGTTTCTATGCAGTCCAAATGAACTATTTACTCATGCATATCTGTTAAAATTGTTGTACCACAACTTAAGTTGAATTATTACATTCAAGCTTTAATAAAGTTACATTACAGGATGTTACCTTGTAATGGCCTGATTACGTCAGCGTGCGAGCAACAGCAAAGCAGAGTGAGTTGAAATAATTATAATTATAATAATAATTCTTGAGACGCGCCAGACTTACTCAACCCAGAGCAGTTTATACTTGGTCATCTCCTCATCGTGAATTAGTGCTGTCCCCATCTTCATTATTTCAGTCAAGCTGCAGCGTGTTGGTGAACTTTTCTGTGCAAAGTATATCGAAGGGCAATCTAAAAGTTAATTAGCCTACTGTAATAAAACGTGGACTTTGACAGACGGGTACAAAAAGCGTACAAAGAGCGCACTTCATATGCTACACAAAAAGCATGCTAAACTGTAAAGGTAAACACGGAGGGTAAAAAAATCTAAGGACTCTTCTGCGAGTGTTATGAAGGTTGTTAAACTGTTCAATGGTGCCGGCGCGCCATCTGCTGGACGGAGTCAGGCGCTCGCGTCGACTAAAGGAAGACTAAACCTGAAGGAATTTAAGTTCTGCACACTTGTGTTTCTTAAAAAAAAAAAAAGTTTAAATCATCGCTCTGGAAAACATTTGTTTTGCTAAAAGTACAAACTGATTTGCTATTTTTTATTTAAATAATAGGCTATAAATCAAATGTTTTTACATGACTAATCTAGCACTTAACGTTACATGTAGATGCACAAAGACACTTTTCATCTTGCATCTTTATATTCTTATTCAATACATACAATAAGAATGTTGACAAATCATGTACTGTCTTTGAACTCCTGCCTAACTCCTTAGTCTTCAGATTAAAAGATAAAATGTGAACTTGATGAATAAAATAAAGAGCTATTTAAACGTGGTCAAGTTTATAGATGAACTATATTTTTAAACGATTACAAGACAAACACAAGCTTTTATCATCTTTACTTTAATAGAAAACAGTGCAGCTAAATCTTTAACAGCTCAGTGTAAACTTTCATAAACAAAACAAACAGATCAGATGACAGGACAACATTTGGTCTGGCCCAGTGACCATGTCTGGGCTCAAATATCTTTAAGTCAGTGGTGGCATCTCTTTCCTGTGGGAAAAAAATGTAGAAGTCGGAAATGATGTCCATGACATTGACCTCATGAATCTTCATTTTTCAAAGTTGCAGACCCCCCAAAAATATTGTGCAAAAATGTTAGGCCTCTTTGGAATACAGTTTTTGTTTATTGTTTCAGCAATACTGAAATATCCCATTGAATAATGCTTTATTTACAAGATTATATTCAAATGTTCAAGCCCTCATTCATGCGGCCCATCCACCCCTTCCCTCTCCTCCTCTCCCTCCGTCCTTGCTGTCTCCTCCTGAGTTCTTGTGGGAAAAGCTGAACTCCTTTCCTCTTTCCCTTCCTCTCCTTCCTCCTTCTTTCCCTCTCTCCCCTCTCCTCCTCTCCTGCACATCATGAGCAGAGCTCCTCTGCATCTCTTCCTGAATGTCGGGTCACAGGCCGCATACAGGAGAGGGTTGAGGCAGGAGTTAAGATAAGCTAAACAGGTAACGTATGGTTGAGCAGCCAGTAGAATCTGATCTAAAGAGCAGGAGTAAGGGACAAAGCCGAACTCAAGCAGCATGGAGACAGACTTGTTAACATGCAGGGGAAGCCAGCACAGGAAGAAAGCCAGCACCAAAGAGACGATGACCCTCAGGAGTCTCCGCTGATGCCTGCGGTCAGGGCGAGGACCCCGTCCAAAATGCCTGCTGAGGAGCCGGGCTAAGGAGCAGTAGCAAACCAGCAGGATGACCAGGGGAAGCAGGAAGCCAATTAGAGTGGATTTAAGACTCAAAGCTGCCACCCACATCATCTCCACCCTGTCTCTGTCCGTCTCCTCCATCTCTGCTCCAATCAGCATGGAGTAGTCCATCTGACAGGAGAGGAAGACTGATGCAGAGTCAGTAGGAAGGCTCTCTTCTAGCTGCCAATCATCCTCATATTCAGAGTGTAGCTCCACCTCCTTGACAGAGCGCAGCAGCAAACCAGGAAGTGCCAAAACGCCAGCCAGCACCCACACCCCTCCAAGTATCCACAGAGCCCTGCTGGGGCAGCTCTGCCGCGGGTGATGGTGGCTGGAGTGCCGGCGTCCAGTCAAAACCCAGTAGCGCTCCACACTGAGCATGCTCAGACTGAACACGCTGGCGTACATGTTGAGGGCGGTGAGGAAGCTGCTTATTTGGCAGAGCGGTTGCCCAAAAGGCCAGTGGTAGCCCAGCGCTGTGTAGGCGGCCCACAGAGGGAGGGTCACAAGAAAGCAGAGGTCAGCCAAGGCTAAGCTGGCTATTAGAGAGTCTGTCAGGGAGCGGGAGGGACGAGGGGTGGAGGGAGGATAAGAGGAGGAGGAGGTGGAGGAGGAGTGAGAAGAGGCTCTGCAGCTTTTTCCTGAAGAAGATCTGCAGTTTTCCTTGCTTTTCTCTGGATGAGAATTGTGCTCACATCTTCCAGAGCTGTTCACGTCCAACTGACGGGTGCAACAGAACCGTCCTCCTGATCTCGCTCCCCTCCCCTCAGCTTTGTCCAAGTAGGCCCACAGCACCAGGCCGTTTCCAAGGGAACCAACCAGAAAGGCTAGTAGGTAGACAGAGGGGATGATGGAGAAGGAAGGAGACCAGTCGCTGTAGTCACAGTGGAAGAAGGGAGAGGGAGAAGGAGACGGGGAGGCGAGGAGGTCTGACATTTGGGGGTCCATCTCCTTGATGTCTACAGAAAATCACCAAGCATTTAAATCTCTCAAGGTTCCAATATTTGGTGACACTTGGTAGATATGATTTCTTGAAGCAAAACTCTCTCAGTGGTAGAAATGTTTTATATGTTGAAGTTAAGGCCAGAATTGAAGTGGACAAATCCTCTGTTTCCTTTCCCTTTGTCCTTGGTCCTTTGAATTGGAGGGTCTGAAAAAGTAATTCAACATAGTAAGATCCTTTAACTTTTGCAACAGGCACAAAAAGAGTAATTACCGTACATGCACAGCTTCTAATAACAAGGTAGAGTTAAGCCACACACATCTTATTTCAGGTGTTTAGTCAGGAATTTTGACTTATCTGCTTGGGAATGTTGACAACATTCAACAAACAACTTCAAAATGTCTGAGGTGTATGTAAATTGTTAGTCAATGTGAATTTCAGGGTTTTTAAACAAGCTCATACTTAAAACTTTGTGCACAAATATGTCTCCAATTTGAAATTGAAGATCTTTGTCACATGCTCATACAGTTGAGGAGTGAAATGCAAAGACTGTACAGCAAGGCTAAGCAATGAAACACTGAAGCATAAAAGTAAAGAAGAGACTTTGCTCTTAACCAGATGAAATTCAAATCTGAGACTGAAGATACATTTTATGCCCCATTTTCTAGGGTATTTTAAACACTTTGGCTTACTGTTTTTTACGTCTTTTCGACACTTTAGTCCTTAAAGACCGTCATTTCTCAAATGTAAATAGAAACAAGATTCAAGCCTTTATTGCCATTGTGCAAAAAAACCCACAAAAAAAAAACCCACATAAAGCAAAGCATCTCTCTGAGCAGCTCAGTGCAGAATAACATAAAAGTACAAGAGGAAAGGTCCTGAATGGAAAACACAACTAGACAAACAAGGCTCTTTAAAATGTACTAAGAACTACAATGTGTCTGTCAAACAGTAAACCTCTGAAGGGCACTGACGAATTTATAAAAAAATATTTTGAAGGCTAATAATGTAGAATGTGAATCTTTTGTTTGTGTTTTTTCTGCACTTAGATTTGCTTCAAATCTTTAAATAATACTGTTAATATGTATAACAGTCTTTAAGATTTTATGATGTGTATATATGTTGCATTGCATCCTTGCTTTCCTAAATGAGGGTCTCAGTACTCCTGAGAGGAATCCTAATGAAACTCACAAAGTTACTTACCTCAGGCTATTACATCAGCTTGAAAGAAATCCTTTTCTGAGATGTGACGAACAGTGTGATGAAATGAATCCTCTGTCTTCCTTCATTTCACTTTCTCTCTGAGTCGTCTCCCTCAATCTCTACATCTCCACTGTCCCAGCTGAAGAAGGTGTGTCTTTCTCTTAAATCCAAATATATAGCACTCTCCTCCACACACACACACATGCACTCACTCACTCACGCGTGCACACACATGCACACACTGATGTATACACACACCCTCAATCCCCTTGTTCTCAAAACTGGACCACCCCAGCAGTGAGTTACGAGACCTGCAAACAGTCCCCCCCCCCCCCCCCCTTCAGCACAAACACACACACACACCTCCCATGAGACACAATAACACCACCCATCCTTCCCCCGTGCACAAACACACACAAACCCGAGACACACAAACCCGAGACACACAAACAGACCCCCCCACCCCCGCCCCTCTGTCCCGAACTGTTCCTTATATTCTCTATTCACAGACACAACAAATCCAAATGCACATACAGTACACAAATGCATGCACACACAAACACACTCTTTCTCCTCTTTGTCTCACGTGTTCAAACACACAGTGTGCGCAGATGTCAAATGTAACAAACCACACGGAGTGCAAACGACAACCAACAGCCCTCACATTCACAGTGAGACCATTAGAACAGAAGAGTGAATGTATGTGAGGCAACCTTATGTGTGAATCGATTAAAAAAGGGCACAAAACCTTTACTCTGTTTGAACATGTGGTATGAAGGAACAATACAACACATTTGACATGACATCAGATCCAAACTCACAGCTGTGTTAGCCTAACCACAATGAGGCTGTAATTTAAGGAAAGTGCATAAAATGTTGTCATGATGAATACTACAGCCTTTGTACATGAGCCGTGTGACATAGCCACGAGGATATCGGCCGCTCCTTGAAGAGTTATTTCTATCACCTGCACATGGTCTGCACCATTTTTTTTTCACAGATTTTCTTTGCGACACTTCAATATGCATTAACAGGCAGAAATAGTGCAGCTAGCAGGACTGCCATACACATTACAGCCAACAATAATAAGGAAGGAACCGTACAACGTTGCATGAGGGAGCTGTTTTGAGTTTATATTAATGCCTGCTATGCCTCCATGCTCAAAGGATATTTGCATTATCTCTCTATTATAGTGTATCAAGGGGCTGCTGTGGCACTGCAAAATATAACTCAACCAACTAAATCAAGCACCCTCAAAACTATCATGCCAAAGAATTTAATTTAATTTTGTGTCGACTTGGTCAAGAATAACTTGTTTCCCTCTAACTTGTTAAAACATTAACTTTCATTTGTGTTTGTGCATCTTTCTTTACAATGTTAAGGAGGCCTTGTTTATGCCGTTGTTGTTGTTGGCGTGCACATAAAAGAAGGATCCCAGTCTCTTCTACATACAGAGACATACAGATTAATAATTGAGCATCAGATGGGTGTGAAGTATCGGCTGGAAGCCAAAGCGCATGTATCTTTAAAGGGACTATTGGGATTTGAAATGTAGACATTACAGTTCACAGGCGGTGCATCAACCCTATGCCTGAGATTTAAAAAAAAAAAAAAAAAGGTATTATAGAAGATGTTACAGTGATAACACTTCTGCGACTTTACCTTTCAGCGGATGGAGTTAAAGAGACAATTTGGTTTATGTTTTTCTGTCATTTGAAGTCCTTCTGTGCTCTCTCCATTGGGCTACGTGTAAACCTACACATTCAATAGTCGGACAGATGAATAAAAAGATACTGTATGCCAGTAATAGGTCCCCGTGTAAACATGGAAGATGTTCAAATAGTAAACAGGAAGTGTTTGTTTCCACAGGGGTAGAAGGGTCATGCTGTCATCAGCCTGTTGTTATGGAAACGACATCTTCCTCGAACATTCCACAGTCCTTTCTCTCAAGACAACACGGTGGTGAAGACACACAAATACACACTCACACACTCTCTCTCACACACACACACACACACACACGCGCGCACGTGCACACACACACAGACACAATGTAAAGCTTTACAAAAGAAAGGAAAAGTAAATACAATAGTTTTATTGACAAGAGAGCTGTAGATGAGCGTCACAGGCACGAAAAGGCTACTTGAACAATTGATCAGAAAGCTGTTTGAAAAAAAAAAAAAAACATGCCGAAACATTCATGGTTCCCTGATCTTCTGACCTCATAACTTTGGCGATCCACTTAGTTTGGCTACGTGGCGAGGGAAAAAAGATAAGATTTTGCATAATATGACTGCTGCACGGTATGAAGCACAGAGGAGCCACACAGGACGATGACATTTCAGAGGGACTGAATGCACGGTGAAGACATTTCTGCAGGTTTTCGTCATGATCGTCCCCAGAACAGATCAAACGCTCATCTGTCTTCTTATCGTTGTGATGGCGGCGGCAGAGGTGCAGGAAAACATCTCACCAGAGTGTAAACAGTTCCTCTACATGGGCACACTGCCTCGAGGGCTGGAGGAGAAGGCTTCTAAGAAGATCTGCCAGTACTATGCAGGAAACCCACGATTTGTCACCTTGTACGACACTTTGAACCACATCCCTGTTTATTCTGCGTACACCTTCAAGCGCTCGGACGGCTTCAAGAAGGTCGATGTACCATGGATGTATGAGCCGCAGGTAAGGGGCGAAGAAGGCTATTGGAGTTTCTATCTCTCCATCATTTGGGGAAAAAAAAAGTTTTTTTATTGTTTGATTTTGGATTTCAGCGTTGACTTTATTATCTCCTCAAACCTTGTTTCTTCTGAAAGCTCTCCACAGCATCAGGCTCCAGAGAGATGCAGCAGCTTCCCGCAGAAAACCTTCACCACAGTTTCGAGGATGCTCAGGCCGTGCTCGACGACTACTCCGACAGTGTCATCTTCGAGCGCGGCCAGCTGAATCCGGATGAGCACCAGGCCAGCCCTGATGACAAGGCATCCACCTACACTCTGACAAACGTTGTCCCTCGGGTCCGAGATTTCAACATTGGCCCCTGGAAAAACCACGAGCACACCATCCGAAGGCGCCTCAACAACTACTGCCGGGGCACCGCATACATGGTCACGGGGGTCACCATCTCCGGGCACACAATCCGCCGACACAACATCAACCGCCTGGGCATCCCCACCTATCTCTGGTCGGCCTACTGCTGCGTTGACTATGACCGCAATGCACCTTACTCTGAGCGCTCCAAGTTTCCAGCGTTCGCAGCCTACGGTCTAAACGACAGGGAGAGAAATAACGTTCAAGAGATGACGGTGCAGCAGCTGGAGGACTTCCTGAAGAAGGTGACTTATGTTGACAGTAATTTCCAGGTCTTTTATGACAACTGTGCCCTGCACCCTTCTTAAAGAAGAAGGGAGATGATCTCAGATGATCCTTTGGTTTAGATTAATACACACAGCAGAGTCAATTATCCTTAATATTCTTTCTTACTTGCTTAATAAGAACTAATTATTAAATTCAGTCTACATTTGTATCAATTTATTTAAACATGTAGTTTCTTTTGCTGAATATAACTTTATGTCCACATGCCAAAATGTGTTTTCCTTTATGCAAAAAGAAAAATCATCGTTTGAAGGCTTGTTTTCTTTACATCAAAATCATGTTAAATTGTTAGATTAAGTGAATAGACAACATAGGTAAGTCCCATTTTTAAATTTGGACTCATCTTTTCCCATATTAACCCTGACACAATATACACAATATGCTAAATTTGCATTTTTCTGAAGATATAAGGCAATATGAACACTACCTTTAAACCACTAGATTCAGTTCCGTTATGTTGCTCGGTGGCAAAGATTTGTAAACTAAGTAAAGTCAAACTCTTTGCATCTTCAGTAAAACCTGTCAAATTGTCCCCACATGTAATAAAGTTGTCTGTTAAGGTACATTGAGGAGCTTTGGTAAGCATTAACATACTATGAAAAGCCATAGTTGTACTCTTCATTTGCTTTATCTCATGGGACAGGACTTCTCGTGCCTCTGAGGGCCTTTTGTTCAACACACACTGATTAAATCAGCGGTTTTACATTCACACATACAGAACAGCCTCTGAAGTGTAGCACTGCAGAGCACAGCACGACAAGCTGGGCCAATTTCAACCTTCTGACTTTTTATTACTACTAAATAATACAACTTGATATTGAATTTCCAGGAATTTGTGTCCAGAAACCAGAATAGTTTTTTTGTATTTATGTTTTTATTCATTTTAAAGTATTAATTTGTCAATCTCCCTAATCTGGTACCCTTATGGTACCCCGTTTGGTTAAGACTTGGACCACAAACTGTTGAGAGTTGAACTATAAAAGCCAAATAAAGTAGATTACAACCCCATACAAATATTTTCATTATTATATGTCAGGAATTAGAATATTTTTGCTTGTGCTTCGATAAGGCAAGACCTGTATTTGTTCAAAATTGTATGCAAATATTGTTTTGTAATTAAAGAGGATATTTGAAGCTAAATAAATCCTATGATCCCACAACAACATAAGTAAGTATATAACAAAGCTGTGAGGTGGATCTGTAACAAACATCAGTCAAGCCAAGTACATAAAACTTCATGTGTGGTAAAAAAAATTGTACAGAAAAAGAAACATTATGATTGATTGATGATAAAGTAAAGAGACAATGGCTTGTTAACTTTATGTAATATTTATGTGTTTTTTTCCTCTACTATTGACAAAATCATGTTAAAGTTGTTGAAAAGTAGATGTGCAGTAGGAATTAAGTGTAAACTTCATCCTCCTCCTTGTTGAATATGTACTCTTTGCTTTGTGTCAATTACAGCAGTCTATATTATTGTTTAGGTTGACTTTTCAGATTTTATTCAGCTTTCCTTGTTCTGTTTTTCTTTTATCTTATCAACCTGTTTGAATAAAGATCCCAATCAATCATCAGATAGAGCAGGTCATACATGCTACATACTGTATGAAAGCAGAAAAACAATGAAATGATCCAACGTTGCCATTGGGTGAAAGACATTACCGTAGTAACCACATGTTAGAGAAGCTGACTGTATGCTGCCAGCCCGCTAACATTTTATCATAGACAGATGGTCAGCTCAGAGTGTCTTTTAATGTATAAGACTCAGGCTTCAAATCCTTAATTAGATCCACTATTAGCTCTGATGGCCAGCAGAGGGAGACAACGTATATCAATATATATATATATATAATTAAGTAAGTATTTGTAGATACCATGAAAACAGGGTATGCCATATGGTGTAGCTTATGCCTTCTCGTTGAACAGATGTAACCTTAAAATGTTCTGTTGTGAAAAACTAACTGTAAGAGATAAGGCTTCAACAGACCGTCCAACGATAAATAAAAACCCTCATCACACAGAAAAATCAGAACTTGATTAAAGACAGACAATAAAACTAAACTCATCATGTTTTATTTCTCTCTTTGAATTTTTTTTTTGATCATGACACACCTTCAGCTCAGAGATAAAAAAAAAGGAAAAACCAATTTTGTACAAACAGGGCATGGTCAGCATCTTGTGCTGACACATGGTTCACTTAAATCAATGATTCCCAAAGTGGGGCACGGGGGAGGTCGGGGGGGGGGGCAAGGCTTAACAAAAACAATGGACACCGTTTTTCACAGCTAGCAAAGCATGGCAAGTTTTGGGAGAGGACTTCCAGGTGAACACAAGGCAGAAAAAGAATCTACTCGAGACGCCACATATTGTGAAGTTTCATGTTACAGCATCACTTTTGATTGCTTCCTCTTTTATTGGAATCTATTGTCTGTTGTCACACACTGAAGTTGCTGTTCTCTATTCTCTATTCAAAGAGCATTGACTGACAGTGTTTCTAGAGTATGTCAATATGTTGATGTGTATGGTGAGGGGTGGGGGTGGGGGGCCGGCTTGAAACTATTTTCATCTGTCAAAGGTGGGGATGGAAGAAAAGGTTTGGGAACCACTGACTTAAAATCATTGACAAAATATGCTGAGTGAGTCATTGCAGCATAAAAATACACAAGAGCAGGTAAAAGCATTAAAACATAAAAAGAAAAAGTTCAGTAATAGTCAATCGTTGCTCTTTGTACTTCAAAGAAATGATTTTTGGTTCACACAGAACCGAAACTGCTCTCTCGCACAAACACACACCTTACAGCAACACACTAAACACTCACAACAGTAAGTAGCCACAGTGGACACAGGCTGCAGACACAGCCTGCAGCAGCACTCTGTTACAGACCAGAATGTGTTGGAGGTGTCAGTTGAACCAGGTTGTGTTGAGCTGTGTTTGTTTCTTGATGCTCGTGTCCAGCTTCAGGACCTCTCTGATTGCCATGGTTGCGTAGGTGGAGGGAGGAAGGGAGAACTCCATCCGCAGAGCTCGATACTTCCCCTCTGATGGAGAGAGAGAGAGAGAGAGAGAGAGAGAGAGAGAGAGACCGTTAGTGTGTGTGTGTGTGTGTGTGTGTGTGTGTGTGTGTGTGTGTGTGTGTGTGTGTGTGTGTGTGTGTGTGTGTGTGTGTGTGTGTGTGTGTGTGTGTGTGTACAAAAGGAGGCAAATTTACAACCAATGAGACTTTACTCTGTGCTACGTATGCTAGATCAAATTGATGTGAAGTTTTTTTCCCCCTTGTATAAAACAAACCATGTACAGAGGCTATAGTCCTCCAACCTGTGGCTCCTTTCCTGCATGTCATTCCCCACTTTCTCTCTCCCCGATTTCTGACTCTATCCACTGTCCTGTCTGTAAATAAAGGGCATAAAAAGCCCCAAAGTAAACCTTAAAAATAAAACTAAATAAACAGCAACATGACAGTCCGTCTATATTTTAGAATTCAAACAGAATATAAAATCTACTTTGAGACCAAATGTTTGTTACATTCAGTTGAACAAATCTACAGTACAGTGGAACTCACTCACTCACTACCAAGGCACTGAACCTCCACCAGCTCAGGAGAGCTCGCTGTGGGCAGCCCCCCCCCCCCCACTCTGACATCTCTCCATAAATGCATGTCCATAGGATCCTGTTTGTGCACTTTTGTGTATTTCAGCCTGTGTGCGTCTCAACCAGAGTGTAAAATTGAATTTCCCCTCGCAGGATTAATAAAGTATATTATCTTCTTCTTCTAATGTTTTTGTGTTACAACTGCCTCTTACTGATAGTTATGTCCAGATGCAGCTTGATTCTGTTCTTCAGACCACTTTAGAGGGAACTTACCTGTGTTGAAGACAGGGGCAGGTTTATTCTCCAGTTTCTCAAAATCGCTATGCACCAGAGAGATCTTCGGGGTCGTCGTACTGAATTACCTCCCTGAAGAAAACGGACAGACACACCACAGAGTCAGAGATGGTTAGAGACGCTACCGTGAGGTATATAGAGGAACTAAGATTAAAAAAGTCAATATAACTGAAGCACACAATAACAGCTTTTGTATGAAAATAAGAATGGGATACCACAATCAAGGGCTTTATACATATACATACAGCATATTAAGAAATACTAAGCTACGTTTTAATTGGCTGCTTACCAGCTGACATCACTGGGTCTGATGAGGACTCGTCTGTAGGCTCCGGCCAGGGAGTAGTCCTTCACTTTGTGCCTCATGTTGTCGATGTCCAAACCGTCTGCAGTGAGCAGCTCTCTGTACCCTTTACCCACTGACAGACAAAGAGAAAAGTTTTACGTGGAAAAAATGTCACCTTAACAAACCATTTTACATGACTTGTGAGTTTTCCTTCACTGAACTTTTAGTTCAAATCAAAAAAGCTGATTTAGCTTAAAAAAAAAAAAGAACCTTGGTGTCTTTGCGTGTGTTAAAAGTGATGTAATGGTCTCAAACATTTTTGTTGAAACCACTGGTGTTATTTTTCATAGCAATTTTTTTTTTTTTAAATGTGAACTGCAGATAAATCAACCTCAGATCCTTACAGTGTCACTCCTTACCATGATGTGTAGGGTAGATGACATCAAACCCAGGAAGTGGCATCACAATGTCATGGATGGAGTGACTCTCAGCCTCCTCTGCAGACAGCACGTGTGCTGCGGCTTCATGAAGACAACAGAGACAACCATCAGAACAGAGCGATTATGTTTTAACAACCTGACGCTGAAAGATTGTTTGAGGGACACTCTAAAGGGTCCATCTGTGTAAAAAGTACATGGATTAAATACATCTTTAGCTTCTTCAACTTAATCTTGGTTGTCATCGATTGACTGGATGATATGTTTGTGTTTATTTAGTCACTAACATGTTATATATCTGTTCAAAAACATCCAAAACATCAAACTAGTCATGTAGTATTCACCATTCGTTTGCTGAGAAAATGAGCTTGAACTACTAACTTCCTTTGAGCATCAGGTCTCCCTCCACAGCCTTGAGGCCGAAGGCTTCGATTCTGCGGCTCACCATGGTGTTCCACACCACGCTCTGGTAGCTGTGGATGTACATCAGACGGTTGTTACGAGGGATCTGAAAAAACAAACAAAAAAACAAAACACAACTCATCAGGCCTGTCTCTTTGGATATATATATAGTAAGTTGTTACTGAAAATGGTGTTTATCCAGAACAGTATCTGATTTTTGACCTCGCATTTAAGTGGCCCTTATCCAAATTGAAAAGTTGAGTCAATGTGTTGTGTCTATACATACTGGTTTAAAACAAATAGATTTGGGTTCTGTCCTCCTGCAGTTTGAAATGAGTCTAAGAGCATGTTCATCTGCAGCATCACTGCTTAAAGTTTTGTATGTCTCATCTCATTAATGTTATAGCATCATTGTCAAAACACCAACCAGTCCAAAAGCAGTGACGATATCCTTCTTGCCGTACATGGACAGGCCTCTCAGCAGCTGCCCCTCCACACAGCGCTTGTTGGGCAGCTTTTTCAGGGCTGCCTCGGGGTCCTGAGTCTTCGCCCACTCCTCCCTGCAGCGCACCAGGAATTCTTTCTCCGCTAATTTAGAACAGGAAAAATTGAGAAAGGTTAAAAAAACCAAAACAATTTCAAGCACTCGAACAGGTGGAAGAAAGCTGTAATGTATTAAAAAATAATTACCTCCTGGACGAGGCTTCAGAATTAAATCCACCACCTCCTTCCAGTCATTCCTCAGGATCGCCCTGCCCCAGAACATATGCATGAAGCAAAAACGTGAATTTCCCCCATCCTTATATAGGTTTTGCCAAGTCATGATAAATGACAGTACCACCAGGTCACGACCTTACCTGCCAACCTGTTGTGTAGGAACAGCTGTGGTGCCAAATCGCTGCATGCCGTAGTAGTTAATAAATCCTGTCTGCTTGAGGGATGTCAGGGCCTGTTGGACCTGCTCATCTGTACCTGAGATGTTCCTGAGATTCACAGAATACAGAATACTTAACAAACTGATGACAAGAGCAGACATTGCACTGTGAAGGATCTGGTTACCTTCGATTAGAGAATTGGGATTATCTGGGCTAAAGGTTGGGTTTAGGTGGACTTGATTTGTCTAACATAACATTTTATCATGTTGTATAAACTGCATACATTATTGTACAAGCAGCACTTGATTTGCTGAACTTTATGGAGCTTTTATTGTAGACTTGGGACAGTGGGTAGAGTTGGAAATCAAAGAGAGAAAGAACGGGGAATGACATGAAAAGGAGCCACAGGTCGGAGTCGAACCCGGGCAGCGCGTTTGGAGGACTAATGCCTCCATACGTGGGGCGCATGCACTAACCACGACACTACCGACCCCCTCTCTTAGGCTCAGCTTTCTGAGATAATGGTGGGTGGGTTTCAGTTTTTTGAGGGTCTCCAAGTTAAGTGTAACATCATTACAGTACTATACACTGACCTGATGACTATGGTGAAGTGGTTCCCCTGCAGCTCCCCCAGCTTTAGAGGGTGGTTTTTGTAGCAAAAGTTTCCCAGCTTGAGGTTCATGAGGCACTTGTTGAGGTGAGCCAACCTCTCTGCTGTGATCCTGACAGGACAGAGAGAAGTTAATAACAGATCTATTGCATCACCCTGATCCAACAGAGACCATCTGTAACCCCAAAATCACCTCCAATCGACCCAATGCAACATTTACACTACCGCCTATTCATGGATCATCCACAGACATTAAATAAATGTAAACTGATTAAAGTAGTTAATTACTCACTTGAGCACTGCTATCTCCTGCACGGTGATGGCTCTCTTGTCCTTGGTTCCCATGTACGAAAACATGTTGGGCCTAAGCCTAGAAAGACATGATTACAGCAATTACATTTCATTAAGCAACCACGCTGTCAATGTGTCTATCATATGAAAGCAAGTATGACATTCAGACCTGAGGAACTTTGACAGCACATTGATAGCGTCCATGGTGTCCTTGTTCTCTTTGTACAGGGCAAAGTGGCAGAAACTGCCACGTTTTTTAGGCCAGAAGTGTTTCCTT